TTTTGTTGTTGTTGTCTGGACAGTCTCAGACAGATCACCTTGAGATTAAAGTAAATAGTGTAGCCTTGTGATATACAATGTTACATAAACTTTTCTCTATCACATAATTGGTAGGTTTCTCAGGAGGATAATGTCAATGGATAAAAACAAACGGTATTGGGGTCATTTATTGCTAAATATGCAAATGGTAAAGGTTTTTATTACCTTCAGTGTTTTCAATCAAGTATGGTATCGCTCTTTTCTGCCGGTGATCGGGTGAGAATTGACCATTGGACCTGGATAATACTGGGATAATGGTTATAATTATCCAAATAATAGTGTAAGATAACAACAATTGGTGTCTTAAAGGGCATAGCTGAGGACTTGAACAATTGTAGGCAACTATACAAAGTTGCAAAGAAATTTAGCAAGGCCGGTTGGGATTTTTGTTTCCTTACCTGTGCTTGTTGACGTCTGTTGCTTGGGTCTTTTCCTGAATAAAAAAACATCTGGATTTGGACGAAATGTGTCTGAACTTTTTACCTTGTTTCACTATATAGCTGATGAGATTTTGTATGTAATCTTGACCTGACATGATAATGTCATCATTGATTAACCATCTTGAAGGCGCATATCATTACAATAATCATATTTTGATTTCAAGTCAACATTGACGTTCAGCATGCTGAAAGATGACTCCGAAAAGTAGAGTCATTGATATTGCTCACATAAAGTCATACACATGGCCGCTAAGGCAGCCATATTTTGATGTCTTTGCCATTCCTGCATGTGTTGGGAGGCATGGGTGGCCCAGTCGTCTGAAGCTCTGCGATTTGCTGAGTTTGCAGAGTTGCGTCCTTTGGGCATGCCAGAAACCTATGATTGTGGGTTCGAATCCCAGTTCGCCCCGATTATGTTTCTAGGTTTGTCAGCACCATACCCGTGCTCGTGGGTTTCACCGAAGTGGTAAACGTCTGAGACCTGCATCACTACGGGCTTTCCTCCCACATTAAGCTGACTCGTTGAAATATAACTGGAATACTGTTAAAAGCGGCGTTAAACCAAACTCACTCACTCCTGCATGTGTCAGTGCTTAAAAATTCTTCCCAAGGCAATGGAGTTAAGCGACTTTAAAATTCAGTTTATACCCTTGCTGGACTAGGCTGGAATTGTGGAGTTATGTTTTGACTTGACTAAAGAATCTATGCATAGAAGTCAACATCCGGTTCGTAAACTGCAGTGCAGATTTCGGTCGATTGCAGGATTTACAAAGCATGTGTATTGTCAACTTAGTATCAACAGATACTTTCCAAATCTCTTCAGGGGCGGTCTGGTAGCCTAGTGGTTCCATTCCCCACATGGGTACAATGTGTGAAGCCTATTTCCTGTGTCCCCTGCCGTGACATTGCTGAAATATTGCTAAAAGCTTAGTAAAACCATACTCACTCACTCACCATATCTTTTCATCTTTTCAATCAAGGTGCTCGTTTGATTTGATGTACTTTGTTTTATTATAATATAGAACTTGATTATCGATCAGATCGCCTCCCTGGGCACCACCATATTGTTTGAAACAAATGCAAGTGATATCAGAGGTGGAATCTGATTGGAGGTGAGGTGAAATTGGGTTTAACGTCCTGTCCAAGATTATTGCACTTATATAGCGACGTGCATGCACGTGTATGTGTGTGTGTGGCTGCTTGTACTAGTCCGGACTGATGCCGATTTATAGTGCTAGCTCACTGAGATACCATGCCGCAGTTTAACATGAATACCCCACTCAGACACAGTATACTGACTCCGAGCCGACCAGTCCTTGTTTTAGCCCCTTAATGCCGAGCGCCAGACAGGGTAACAACAAGTACAATCTTTTAACGTCTTTTTGTATGACGCGGCCCGGGATCGAACCCTGGACCTTCCGCTCTCCGGGCGGACGCTCTACCACAAGACCACGGAGGCGGTCGGAATCTGATTTGACAATAGGAGGGACATAGAAGGGACATAAGTCATGATGTCCACTTGTGGTGCTACAATCGAACCCAGAAATTGAGGCCTGGTAGGGCAAGGGTGGAACTGGTCTTTCACAGTCAATTAACTCCCTTGCCAAGGGTAGAAGGTGTCAATGTGTAATTTGACTTTCAGGTAGTATTCTCTTTTTTCGTGTGTGGTTGGGTTTAACAGCTCTTATGTCCACACTACAAAAACATATTATTGATCTTCCCCTCCAAAAAATCTCAGTTCAGTTAAATTCCCAGAATTCCAGAATAACCTCGCTTAGTCGTGCCTGAGTTCCAGGTTTGCCCTGATTCACACCGTTCACCTACACATGTTTAGGGGCAGCCGCATAGCCCAGTGGTTCAAACATTTGTTCGTCACGCCGAAGACCCGGGTTCGATTCCCCACATGGTACAATGTGTGAAACCAATTTCTGGTGTCCCCCCGCCGTGCTATTGCTGAAATGTTTGTCATCACTTTGGACCAGCAACATTGAACTTGAATGCCATACCAGATGGAAATATTGTTAAAAGCAGTGATTTACTGACTCACTCACTCAAAGTATAAATCTTAATTCAACAGAGATTTATCCAGGCTGTATCCTTTAGGGTAGTTCTGACTTTCTGACTGTACGGATCATATCAGTCTCATCTAAGTACCTGTAGTCTTGACCTTCATTAATCTGATAAACCGCAGCCACTTAAGCACATCCCACACCAGAGCAGCCTATCTTCTGTTATAATAACCCCCATTTGCTATTGATGAGACTCCTTAAGCAATTCGCCTTCAGCCTCAAACAAGGTAAATCTTGAAGACGATTTATCTTTGGGAAATCTAATTTGAATAGCCAATAGCTGTCTGGCCTCGGAAGGCGAGTATTTCACTTAGCTAACTTTATTTGATTATTGACAAAGACAACTTCATGTTGATTCCCCCAAATCTAGGACTTGTATAGGTCAGTATTGCATCAGGGCTACTGTAATGCCATTAGTCTTTGCATCCATTTCTTGTTTTTGCTTGCATCTTGGTTTCGGTGTGATCCGATTCTGACATGACTTGATTATAGGGGTATAATGGGATTAGGTAGCAGGCTAGTCTTGCTCGAACTAAAATATGCAGTGGATACGGACACAACAGATGGCTGAAGGGCCTGGTGTGTAATTGTGGGACAATTTGGTCCTGTCTGTCATGTTGCCTAGTGCAGAGAGTTCTTGCTGACAACTATTGTCAGGCAATAAAAGCCCATGTGTCGGTTTGTGGTCTGTGGTATTTCTGGTGCAATAAGGTGGTTTAGTTTGGTGTCTTTTTATGACAGTGATATGGTTAGTTGTTACTGCCTGTCGAACATATTGTTGCTTTGTGAGTGATAGTTGTCACTTTTGAAACAGAAAATCATTTCTTGGTGTATATGGGTTTATGTATGTGTTAGATTGTCTGGTTTGTGGAGGACATCTTGTTAGAAGTGCACGACCACCTCCACTCCATGCAGGGGGCGGTTGGGTGGCCAAGTGGTTAAAGCATTTGCTTGTCAAGCCGTAGACCAGGGTTTGATTCCCGGGTACAATGTGTGAAGCCCATTTCTGGTGTCCCCCGCCGTGATATTGCTGGAATATTGCTAAAAGCGGCGTAAAACTCTACTTACTCACTCACTCGATGCAGTCTAACACTACCCCAATCTAATCCAAATAGACTTCATTGTCACCTCTACTCCACTGGAATACATCTGAACAGCATTTCTACCCCACCCCACATACGCTGCACCCAACCTCACCACATCCACCCACACAATACCTCTTGCACATCCACCCACACAATGCCTCTTGCACATCCACCCACACAATACCTCTTGCAGATCCACCCACACAATAAATACCTCTTGAAGATCCACCCAAACAATCCCTCACCACATCCACCCACACAATACCACTTGCACATCCATGCGAACAATACCACTTGCACATCCACCCATGTCAGCATGTATCTTGCTACCGCTAAACAAAGATCTGAGGACATCCCATTACGGGTCATGTCAGACCGACCTTGTGCGAACTTTGATCGACCAATGGAATGACTGACGAGAAGTCGACATTTTTTTAGCCAATCAGAAGGCAGCTTCCTCATGTTTTACAGCCCCAATTTCAAATTGGCGACTACACTTCGAAACATATTTTGACAAATTCTCAATTGCAAAATTTGAAACCTGAACAAAAGAACATTCTGGAATGGCTAACAGATGGTCTAGATTGTATGGATTCAGTCGTTAACCCCGTACCTATTGTACAGAATACCCTGTGTAAAAAGTTTTCGGGGTTGCATGACAAGAATTCACATTCCGACCGTCACTTTCATGATCTGGTAAGCGACGCTCTGATTGGTCGGGTGATAGGTCGTTCTGACGTGACCCCTAACTGGATGTCCTCAGAACTTAGTTTAGCGGTAGCGAGAACTAACATCTGATTTTGATGAGATTGCTGTCCGAGTTGCTTCAATTAAGTTTGTTTCGGGTGACTTGTGCAAGTTACAATACCCTGTAATGCTAATAATCACAGAGAGACACCATGAGTTGAATCAGGTAGTCTACACCTCATTTCAGAGGAGTGGTTAATAGCAGCTCCTTCTACCATGCCATTGAAGGATGATCAAATTGGATTTGTTAATTTTACCGAATTTGAAGTGGTGAACGAGTGATAACCACTTCTGACTGCATCACTGAATGGATTATGTGCACAGGAAAAGGAATTTGCTAAAAAATGCATTTTGTGTAATGACAAACCTTTTCTGTTTTTGAATTTGAGGGGGGTTCTTCATTGATAAAGCAATGCTATGTGTAACATTACGTTAACATGTTCGGTTTTAAATGACATGTTGTGATGTTAAAACAACAATGAACCACTTCAAAGTTTAAAGCTGTATGGATTTCTCCTAAATAACATTTCGGGGGGAAAAACTCCACCAAGATTTTGGGTTGTCTCTGGACTAGTGGTAGAGGCCTTGTCTAACCCAGAATACTGTTTTTTCTCTTGCAGACACTGGGGGTAGCGGTGAAGAGCCCCAACAGAACCATCGACAGTGCCGTGAGTGGCTTACGTCAGGCATTCGCTCGAGTCCTCAACTGGCCCATTGACAATATCAGAGTAGATCGCATCAGTGTGAGTGTTTAATTATTGCAGAATATATGGGAGAGAACATTATGTCTTAAAACACTACATTATTGATCAAGTTGTCTTCAAAGACTAGATAAACAATATTGTGTTTAAGACCAGGTGTGGGAAAAATGAGGAGCTTGTTTTTCTATCCCACTATTAGTTTACATTAATAGCTTCGTTCATTGATGTCATAAAAAACATTTTTGCTAAAAAAATTTATCTCACACATATTTGTTTTCATGTTTACACAGCATTTGGGTTCGATTCCCGACATGGGTACAATGTGTGAAGCACGCATGAATATGGTGTTAGCGTTGGGCGTCTCAACGTGCGTGATTCCCGTGCACCCTTTCGAGTTGAGTTGATTGGTTCAACTGTGTCAACTCTTGCACATCCACCCAAACAATGCAAGAGGCATTGTTTGGCGCAGGGGTAGCATTATGCAGATGGCTGTTTCAATGAATGCTCGTTCCACCCATGACGAACAGGTCTGGTTGTTGATGAAATAAAGTGATAGCTAAATAGACAGATTATTTTTTCATGCACCGATTGTCTTTAAATGTAATATCCAGTTATGTATGACTGTGTAATAATCTCATACCAACTTTGACTGGAGTAGGCTTGTTCTTCCTTGTTTCAGTTGGCAGACAGTGTCATCAGCTTGTACTTCCTTGTTTCAGTTGGCAGGCAGTGTCATCAGCTTGTACTTCCTTGTTTCAGTTGGCAGGCAGTGTCATCAGCTTGTACTTCCTTGTTTCTGTTGGCAGGCAGTGTCATCAGCTTGTACCGCCTAGTTTCAGTTGGCAGGCAGTGTCATCAGCTTGTACTTCCTTGTCTCAGTTGGCAGGCAGTGTCATCAGCTTGTACTTCCTTGTCTCAGTTGGAAGGCAGTGTCATCAGCTTGTACTTCCTTGTTTCAGTTGGCAGGCTGTGTCAACAGCTTGTACTTCCTTGTCTCAGTTGGCAGGCTGTGTCATCAGCTTGTACTTCCTTGTTTCAGTTGGCAGGCAGTGTCATCAGCTTGTACTTCCTTGTTTCAGTTGGCAGGCAGTGTCATCAGCTTGTACTTCCTTGTTTCAGTTGGCAGGCAGTGTCATCAGCTTGTACTTCCTTGTCTCAGTTGGAAGGCAGTGTCATCAGCTTGTACTTCCTTGTTTCAGTTGGAAGGCAGTGTCATCAGCTTGTACTGCCTTGTTTCAGTTGGCAGGCAGTGTCATCAGCTTGTACTTCCTTGTTTCAGTTGGCAGGCAGTGTCATCAGCTTGTACTTCCTTGTCTCAGTTGGCAGGCAATGTCATCAGCTTGTACTGCCTTGTTTCAGTTGGCAGACAGTGTCATCAGCTTGTACTTCCTTGTTTCAGTTGGCAGGCAGTGTCATCAGCTTGTACTTCCTTGTTCAGTTGGCAGGCAGTGTCATCAGCTTGTACATGTTTCAGTTGGCAGGCAGTGTCATCAGCCTGTACTTCCTTGTTTCAGTTGGCAGGCAGTGTCCTCAGCTTGTACATGTTTCAGTTGGCAGGCTGTGTCATCAGCTTGTACCACCTAGTTTCAGTTGGCAGACAGTGTCATCAGCTTGTACTTCCTTGTTTCAGTTGGCAGGCAATGTCATCAGTTTGTACTTCCTGCAAACTGGAAGTGTGGACGACTTCTTCCAGACCTCCGATCTCATCCCAGCCACAATGGTCCTCCAGCCGGGCATGCTGGCCTCGGTCCAGAAGGAGGCTCCGCAGCTCAACATCACCCGCATCATGCAGGATGTAAGCACATGTACAACATGACAACATTACAAACATATACTGGGATAGATCGATGGACATAAGTCACTACATCTTTCGAAAATATTTTCAATATTATGGATTTGAAAAAAAAGTGTGCACTATACTCAAGATAATATGGTTAAAAGAAATCTATTTTTCTATGGGATTGAGGTTCTGGGGATGGCTAATACCAAATTTGAACTTTGGGGTTGAGGGTTCTTAAACAGCAGTAAAGTGTTGTCAAGTGGGGTAATTTGACTAATGCATCAGCATGCTTGAAAATCACATTTTCGGATTTGTTTTTGAATGCTGGTTGTGTGTTCATTTATGTGTGTGTGTTACAGCACGGCATCTACAGTCATCCATATGATGTCCCCCCCATCTGGTCACAGCCCTACTTCCCCTACATCATCGCTGGAACCGGTGTCATCTTCTTCCTTATGTTCATCCTCTTGGTGAGTATCTCATCTTGTTGCCATGGCAACTAATATTACGTGTGTTTCCGTCAGGTTAATCCTCATGGCAACAGATCATGTTGTAGTTCAGGTTCAGCCTCCTGATGAATAGTCTGTTATGTTGCTATGGCAACAAATCATGTAGCTCTGGTTTATCCTCCTGGTAAATAGTCATGTTGCTGTGGCAACAGCATGGTTTAGCTTGAGTTGCTCATGGGGTCAATATGGCAGGCGCAGTCACTGTGGCATTGCATGTCACATTTGCCTGTAACCTCTCATCTACTGCAGGGATTTCATTATTCTGATCTTACTGAAAACAGATTTTTCACTTGCCCAAACTTAATGATTTTGGAATATGTTTTGTCCCTTTCCAACAAGCCATTAGGAACCGATGAAGATGTGGGTTAGAGTGGGTTTTCAGCAACCCATGCTTGCTACAAAAGGCGACATCCTTGTCGTAAGGGATGACTAACGGGATCGGGTGGTCAGGCTCGCTGACTTGGTTGATGCATGTCATTGTATCCCAATTGCATAGATGAATGCTCATGATGTCAACACTGGATTTTCTGGTCCAGACTCGATTACTTACAGCCGCCGTCATAGAGCTGGAATATTGCTGACTGCGGCGTTAAGCTACAAAGACACAGGGTCTGGACATGGTAGTTTGAGACCGATATGAACAAAGCCACTTCTGGTCTTATCTTCCAGCTATACTTATGCTGCTGTAGAAAGAATGATAAGAAGGACAAGCTGAACGAGCCTCTGACGACCCAGCAGATATTCTACCCGACGATCAAGCCCGATGTGAAGGACCCTTTGACTATACAGCCAGAGGGCACGCCAGTTTTTGTTGCCAAGGGCTGCATGACAACCATTCCAGCTCAACCAATGAGGGTGAAGGCCAAAGGTCTTCTTGAAAGGTCAGTGTCCTCTTCGGACGATGATTGATAATTATTGCTTTTAGCAAAATCACCCTGAGCATTTACACTTTGGTTATTTTGTTGGAATAATTATTGCACTAGACTTTTATGTGACTGAAGTTATTCATAGCAACAATTTGGCTGAGGCATTTGTTTGATTTATGTCACACAAAAATACTTTGAATTCTTAAATGATGCACATTTTCGACACTTTGTAGGTTCCGATGTGTTGTGTAATTACTTTGCCGTTATCTCACAGTATGAGGAGTGGTGAGGTAGCCTAGTGATTAAATCATTCGCTTGTCGCATCAAAAGTCCGGGTTCGATTCCCACCATGGGGAGGTAAAGTGTGTGGAGCCAATTTCTGGTGTCCTCGCCGTGATATTGCTGAATATCGCTAATAGCAGCGTAAAACCATACTCACTCACTCACTCACTCACTCACTCACTGCCTAATAAATCTGGTATTGCACCAACTGTACATGTTGCTGTATTGATTTTTATTATTGCTGACATTTCCAGTCGACGAGGGTCGAACGCTTCCCTAACAATTGATCTCAATCCCTCACCAGAACTGGCGAGATGGGATGGAACACCGCCCAAGGAGAGGTAACTCTTAATTGTTGATGGTTTCTGGAGGTTTAAACCCCTCGGGAGCCCAAGGCAGAATAGGCCCCTATGGCAACCCCTGCTTGTCGCAGGAACTTTCTTCCTAACTTGTAGTTATATCACAGCGTTTCAGCTTAAAGTGGGAGGAATGCCCGAAGTGATGCAGGTCTCAGACGTTTACCACTTTGTTGGGTTTCACCGAAGTGGTAAACGTCTGAGACTTGCATCACTTTGGGCTTTCCTCCCACGTTAAGCTGACACACCGTGTTATAACTGGAATACAGTTAAAAGTGGTGTTAAACACCACTCACTCACTCCATTGTAGTAACATCACAACCACTGTAGTAGGTCCAAGGTAAAGGTTCAAACTTCCTCCTATTTTGGTGCATCACTTCGGGCTTTCCTCCCACCTTAAGCTGACACGCCGCGATATAACTGGAATGCTGTTAAAAGCGGCGTTAAACCAAACTCACACACTCACTCACTCAATAGCTCAGAATCCCCTCAATGTTACTATTTTGGTGTTCATGGCACTGTTAAAATATGTATTCGGTCCCAGAAGGGCAGTCTGAATTATTTATGTTTAGCAACAATTGTTTGTGATGATGTTTAGGGGTGAAGCCAGGGACGATAAGGAACATAGGATCACACCGTATGATTCACAGAATACATTTGGAGATCAGAAATTGTTATCTAGCCATGGCACAGTGACATTCACTGAAGTCAAAGATGGTTTGGGTACACGGGTGGCCCAGTTGTCTAAGGCTTTCTTGGTTTGTCGGCACCATACCCATGTTCCTGGGTTTCTAAATGCCTGAGACCAGGGCCCCGTTCCACAAAGCGATCTTAGCACTAAGGTGATCGTAAGTCCCATGCTTTAACATATGGTAACGATCATCGTAGCGCTAAGATCGCTTTCAGGAACGGGGCCCAGCATCACTTCAGGCTTTCCTCCCACAGCTGACAGGCCATCATATGATTGGAATACTGTTCAAAGCGACTTCAAATCAAACTCACTCACTAACTCAGTCGCAAGAACGCTTGTCATTGATGCATGTCCTCATATCCCAATTGCATAGATTGGATTGTCTGGTCCAGACTTGATTATTTACAGACTGCTGTCATATAGGTGGAATATTGGTGAGTGCGTTGTTAAACAACAAACAAACAAAACACTCAGTCCACTCTGTGTGGGGCCATCAAGTATCAAGACATGCAGTGTAATGTTTGTGAACACTCCTTATTGTACAATCTCAAAGCTGCACGAAATTTCTGTTAATTAGGACATTAACTCTTGATTGATGGTGGGTTAATATTGCATGATTACTGGTGCACTCAGTACAATCTCCAGGTGCAGAGCATACAGACGTTCCTGTTCACAGTGTATTTGCTGACCTTTCTAAATATAAAACATCAATGCCAGACAAGAAGCAGTCTGGATTATTCGCCAAAGATTCCTTTGGGAGTAAAAGGCAAAATAGTGATCAAAATCATGGGAATGGATCAAAAACAGGATCAAGAATAGGTCTTCAGCAACCCATCTCTACTGTAAGAGGCGACTTTGCTTGTCGTAAGAGGCGATTAATTGGATTGGGTGGTCAGGCTCGCAGACTTGGTTCATGCATGTCATCGATCCCAATTGCCTGGATCGATGCTCATGATATCAATCACTGGATTGTCTGGTCCAGGCGTGATTATTTTACAGACCGCCGTCATATGGCTGGACGCCGCCGTGATATTGCTGGAATATTGCTATTAGCGGCGTAAAACCATACTCACTCACTCACTCACTCATATAGCTGGAATATTGTTGAGTGTGGCATTAGAACAAACCAACGAACCAGAGGTAGTTGCCAGATTGGACTAAGTATGGCTGAAACTGACAGTACCTGGAATTAATTATTTAATTTTTATTATTTGAGCAAAATGTAACTATGGAAAGCCTTGAAAATGTTTTTATGTCTATAAGCAGAGTTTTATGGTGTTGAAGCAAATAATGCACTTATTCACTTGTTTTTTCTGGGTCTGTAAAGTTATATTTTTTTATAACCACATCACAAGCCAAATTTGCCATAGAAAATCTGACAACAATCCAATGTTAATTATTTCTTCAAAATCATATAATCTTTGATAGTGAACCAGAATAGGAATGACTTTATCCTCATGATATCAGTGTTTGTTTTTACAGTCTATACAGTGTTCATGGTCTTGTTTCTTCTCCACAGTTCGGGACTGGAGTTTTTGCTCTCTGCAGGAAACAGACTCAGTCGCAGAGACTTACGAAATGCTGTTAAGCACCCTAAAGCTTTATATGAGGAATTTTGGGTGAGGAGCAGAATCACACAAATCCTTCAAATTATATGTCGGAATGAATGAATTCACTTACAGCGATAGTAGGGTAGCATTGAGGTTAAAGCTGTCGCTCATCATGCCGATAGGTTCGATTCCCCACATGGGTACACTGTGTGAAGCTAATTCTGGTGTCCACCTGCTGTGGTATTGATATTGCTGGAATATTGCTGGAATATTGCTGGATATTGCTAGAATATTGCTGGAATATTGATGGATATTGATGGAATATTGCTGGTATATTGCTGGAACATTGCTGGATTTTGCTGGAATATTGCTGGTATATTGCTGGATTTTGCTGGAATATTGCTGGTATATTGCTAGAATATTGTTTGAATATTGCTGGAATTTTGCTGGAATATTGCTGGAATATTGGTGTGATATTGCTGGCTACGGCTGGAATATCGCTGGAATATTGCTGGGATATTGCTGGCTATCGCTGGAATATTGCTGGATTTTGCTTGAATATTGCTGGTATATTGCTGGTATATTGCTGGAATATTGCTGGAATATTGCTGGATTTTGCTGGAATATTGCTGGTATATTGCTGGTATATTGCTAGAATATTGTTTGAATATTGCTGGAATATTGATGGAATATTGCTGGAATATTGCTGGGATATTGCTGGAATATTGGTGGGATATTGCTGGAATATTGCTGGAATATTGCTGGGATATTGCTGGAATATTGCTGGGATATTGCTGGCTATCGCTGGAATATTGCTGGAATTTTGCTGGAATATTGCTGGTATATTGCTAGAATATTGTTTGAATATTGCTGGAATATTGCTGGGATATTGCTGGAATATTGCTGGGATATTGCTGGATATTGCTGGAATATTGCTGGGATATTGCTGGATATTGCTGGAATATTGTTTGAATATTGTTTGAATATTGCTGGATATTGCTGGAATATTGCTGGAATATTGCTGGGATATTGCTGGAATATTGCTGGGATATTGCTGGCTATCGCTGGAATATTGCTGGAATTTTGCTGGAATATTGCTGGTATATTGGTAGAATATTGTTTGAATATTGCTGGAATATTGCTGGGATATTGCTGGGATATTGGTGGGATATTGCTGGCTATCGCTGGAATATTGCTGGAATTTTGCTGGAATATTGCTGGAATATTGCTGGGATATTGCTGGGATATTGCTGGCTATCGCTAGAATATTGCTAGAATATTGCTGGAATATTGCTGGATTTTGCTTGAATATTGCTGGTATATTGCTAGAATATTGTTTGAATATTGCTGGGATATTGCTGGGATATTGCTGGGATATTGCTGGG